TTGTGACTTAGTTCAAGTTATTGTTCGTGATTGCACAAGAAAAGCTTCCGCCGCGCACAACACTGGCCACGGTTTAAATACGTACCCTACGATTATTCACTTGGAGTTGGATAGAAAATCAGACAGGATCCAGCTCCCGGTGTTTTACTTGATCCAGCACCTGAGGTTGAGAAAAAATTAATATCGGGTTCCCCTCAGACGAAGATGTACCCATCGATCAATTGGTCTGAGATAGTAACGTCTTTTGTTGTCTTCTGACCATGCGAGGACTCAAGCTCAGATCTCCTCTCACGATACTAGCCTTGTTCACTGAGTTTTCTTCCCGTTAACCGAAAGAATTTTTTTTATCAATATAACCCTTTAATTTTTCTTTTCATGGCCATCCACCAGCGTTGTCCATTTTATTCCTACGCTATCCAAAGCCAAATTCTTAGATGCTCATCGAATATTAAAAAATTGGCACACACCACATCAATAAGCAATAAGAGTAGCTCATGTGACAGAGGTCAGATGCAAATGTGAATGCGATATAATTTTTTTTTACTACAAAACCTATTCCTATTAGTATAATACATACTAGTTTGCGGTCCGTGCAAAGCACGGTATTTTTTGCTACAGTAATCCCATTTTTTAATATAGCATGATTTGAATTTTTGAAAACGCTACAGTATCCCACTCTGCTACAATACATTTTAAATGCTACAGTATACCCGTGTGCTACAGTAATATTTTTAATTAATTATTAGCTGCAGTAATAATGATGCAGTAAATGCTACTGTAGCATGAACAGTAAATCTCTGATCTTCTTATTTGTATAAAGGAATGGATATGACACACGGTGCTGATAAAGCACCTAAGAATTTCTCGTGATGAAAGCTTTTGAAAGCACACTGGCGGGGTTAGGGTGCGAGTTCGTGGAGCCCGAAACTGGCCTGAAAACGGCAAAAAAAAAAGCGAGGGGTCCATTGAAAATGGATCCGGCTCATCCAAAAATAAACGTGCGGATGGTGATGATTTGGTGCCGCCTTTCAATTCTTCTTGGGTTCCATGGAGAAAAGCAATCATGATTCATGAAAGCAACAACAGACACGTAACAAAAGCAACAACGCTTTGAGAACTAGCATGTGAGCGAATTGAAAGCACGAGGCTAGAGTTGTTTCCGCTCTCAGTACTATATCTTAAAATATATTTAATCACTGTATACATTACTTTATTAAGTTATCTACTTAGTTATAATTGAAATAACTCTTTTGAGCATAATGATTTTTAGAGAGTATTAGAACTTGGAATTCTGGAAGATTCTAAATTCAAATCTTATAATTATCAAAATCGCAAGAAGGATAAAAATCTAAATTACATCAACTTATCACTTCGCATATTTAGGAGTTGAGCTAAACTACTATTAATAGTATCTAATACGCAAATACTATCAACCCATTTTTTAAAATAGAACCTAACAATAAAATCAAATCGGTGGATGCGGTCTACTACACATGAACTATATAGAAATAAATTTTTAAAATATTTCAACATCATTAACTAATGTATAATATGTGGCCAATCCATTGTTTCAGAATTGTCATAAAGTTACTTGAATTTTCTCCCTTGCTATTTGACTTAAAACACATTAAAATTCTTTGAAATTTTATTTCTAAAGTACTTCGTGTGTAATAGATCACATTTACCGGTTCGAACTTTTATTTTTGGACTCTGCATTTAAAAATTGAATTAATAGTACATGTATGTTTGATAATACTGTTATTAATAGTCTAGCTCAACTTTTTTTTAGAATATACATTTAAGCGAAATATAACTAAAGACAAGTTTGATATTTTTTGAAGCTTATGACAAGTTGCTTATATAAGACTCGTGAAGAAAGTACTGAAGAGCATGATCACACCATCAATCTGTTAAATATTTCACCATGAGCTCACAAAACGGTCACGTCAAACATAGTTTAATTAAGGAAAAATAAGTAAATATATATACTTTAAAAAAACTTGAAAGTTCACCAATAATTTAAAAAAGTTGTTGATCACTTTGAGTTATAAGCAAATGATCATAGTCATAAGAAGATCTCTTTTCGTATTGTGAAGTTGGCTCTAAATTTTAATAATGAATAAAGATTAAAATTTGTTTTTCCTAAACGATAAGGATGATGAGAAACTGTTAAATGAATGCTATATATAAATTGATATACATATTTTACGAAAGTGTTTTTTGTGAACGTGACAAATTAATAGAGTTTTTTTTAGATTATTGTGAGTTATTTAAATTATTGCGGGCATGACAAATGACAATTATGCCATCGAAGAGAACATCGATTGTATTATATGAACATCCTTTGTAATAATAGACTTATATTCAAACAACTAGCTAGTCCTGATCAGTAGTAGAATCATATGAGCATACTCTATAATTTGTTTTTTTTCAATCGAGTCCAACAAAATTTACGCTATTTATATATAAATTTACCAAAAATTTCAAATAAAGTTATACATAAATGTCCATTTTCCTAATAGGTCCTAAATTTATGGTACTTATACATAAATTAAAAAACAATAAAGTTATACATGAATCGAGTCCCAGCAGTCCATTAAAAAAAATCACCTTGTGTACCATAAAATTAACCCAAATTTTGCTCTTGATATTTTAAGCCGTTTTCTAACTCTTTGATACCCAAAGTTCTAATTTCCCTTGGATACTACCTGCCTACCTGGTAGGATTTATTCGATTTTTTGCTAAACTTATATTATATTTAGGTCCATTTTATCACTTGTTAGGAAACTAAACAACAAAATGCGTTCAATAGCAGTCGACAGAATTATCACAGATACTAAATATGTGATGTAAATTTGATACAAAGTCTAATTGAATTTCTAAGATATTAAAAGTGTTAAAAAATACTTCAAAATACCAATGTGAAAAATAAGTTAATATTACAAAATCCCCTGAACTTTGGGAAGATGTTGCACATAATCCCCGTAAAATTTGCTTGTTTCACATAATCTCCTGACCTTTGGGGGGACCTCACAAATTCCCCTAAACTTTGAATTTTTTTTATACCAAGCCCCTCAATATGTAATTCGGGTCCAACTATTCACACTCCCAAACAGTAACTTTGGGGGTGTGTGAGGACTAAATTACCCTTCTCCCAAACCAAACCAGGCCAAGTCAAAAAGGGCATTTTCGGCAATCCAACTCCCAAAGTTACTGTTTGGGTGTGGATATAGCAAACATGATGTAATTCGCACATAGCTAATATTTCTTCGAAAAGAATTTCTGAAATTTGTCATTTGCCAATTACAGATAGCATACCCGCTCTCCTAAAATTTGAATTTTACATGAAGGATGTCTGGTGAGAAAATTTTACAGTTCAGGATGATTTTGTGAGGTACCATAAATTCTAGGAGGATTATATGAGATAAAAATAGTTCAAGGTTATTATGTGCACCGTACTCAAAAGTTCAAAAGGTCTTAGGGCCCGTTTGGATGGGGTATTTTACCCCAAAAATTAGGAGGAAAGCTGCCAAAATCGTCTTTTTGGCAGCTTTTCCTCAAAATCGCCTCTTATTTTGGGGGAAAGCTGCCAAAAAGCTGTCATTTTGACAGCTTTCCTTCCAATTTTCGGGACAAAATACCATATCCAAAAGGGTCCTTATAGAGGTGATTTTGGGGAAAAGCTGTTAAAAAGCTGACAAATTGATAGCTGACCCCCTCATTTCCTCTTCAAAATACCTGATCCAAACCGCCCCTAACCCTGAACTTCGGGTGTCCAAAAAGTAACTGTATAAACGGGTTGAAGAAAGGACCAGTGGTCAGAAAACCGCGAGATCCGGCCTCCTTACCCCAGCGTAACTGCCAGCTCATCCCGTTCTGGCTAGCATCGTCCTACTTCCGTCGCAAAAGAAAAGACGCGTGTCGAATTTAGAGCGTCTGATCTCTCCTCGAAGCCTCTGGTGCGTCCACGTGGCAATCGGCTAAAAAGGCCCAAGGTTTCTCCAATCGGACCGCGATGTATTTCAGCGTAACTGCCTTATCGTGAGATTTTGACGAGATATCATGAGAAATTTTGCCCAGAATTTGGCTTCCGGCTCCTGCTTTTACGAGGCTCCTGAGGGCTCTGACATGGACGTGACGAAGCCGTCAACGGAGATACGGTTCAGTTACAGCAATGAACGCTTCCGTTTAGAGTCTTATTACCAAAACACCCTCCATCCACTTGATGTTACTCGCGTTTGGTCATTCGTCGTTTTGCAATGACTTATCCATTTTCAACTTCCTGACGATTTTAACCAAATGCAATCTAGCTCTTATGTGACATGCTTCTCTAATTATCAATGAACTGTTAAAAATGACTTATTTTTTAATTATAAAATAATAAAAGTAGAATATTTAATATTAGATATATTTTATAAATATAGTTATAACTATATTCGTGTTAATACGATAGAAACTGTATGCTTTAGAGTTGTTATAACCATAACGTTATATCTTAATTACAGAAAACATGCCATCTATTTTAAAAACCATACACATTCAATGCCACATTAATTGTATATCCCACGATATTTCTTATTATTTTACCTGCCAAAGAAAATTATCCTATTAAGATTCGAACAAGATATTACAAGATTAAAAGGTCTAGTTCAGGCACTCTTGTAGAATTCAGCTTAGCACGCAGAGACTCAATCAAGACTTTTGCAATATTAAGATGAGATGTATTCCTTAATAATGCAATTAGAAAGTCATTAAAACCATCCTTTCGTCCTACAAGATATTACAAATGTAGTTTACTTCTCACCGCGAAGGGTAAAATTGTAATTTGGAGAATAACGTTACAAGAGAAGCGGGGCGAGAATAGCGGCTCCGTTTCCAAGGCGTTTGGTCGAACCACCAACAACTACCACTTGCTCTCTCTCTCTCTCTCTCTCTCTCTCTCTCTCCATAATAATTAATTAATACTCTTTTTTTATTAGTCGACTATTAATACCCGCTCTTTTCCCATCTTTCCGTTTTTTCCAAGACTCTCTCTTCTTCCCCCACTCCGTCGCCGGAAAACCGACCCTCCTCACTCTCGCTCGCCGGAAAACCACCCCAACTCCCCCAAAACCGCCGTCCTTCTCCCCCTCGTAAACAATCGCGTCGAATATCGGCAATCCCTCTCGGTTTCTTCCCTCCTACGAAAAGTTTCGGATCTCGCCCGAATTCGTTCTCAGAACCGTAATGTGGCTTCGCTCGTAAAGGGGAGAGGACCCGGTGTCGGATCAGGAATCGGCATGAGATGGTAAGAAGTCGTGATTTCGTTAATTTCCTCTTTTCGCTTATTGATTTGTTATGTATCGGGAGTTTTTGGTGGTTTTTGTTAACTTGAGGTGAGGTTCTTAATGCGAATTGTTGGGAATTTTAGGATTTTTCGGAGATGATATCGTATTGTTTTCTTGTTTCTATTTTTGGATCCTCATACGTTGTTAAATTGGGAAATTTATATATAGATGTAGGTCTGGTCTTAAATTTCTTGGGGATTTTAGGTTCATTTATGAAGGCGATGATTTTTGCTTTTCATTGAACAGTAATGCTAGTATTTTCACCATTTTTGGGGTGATTTAGTAGGAAAAAGAAAAGAGAAGAAAATGGAATTTTTTTTAATGTCAGAATTTGGGTCATTTCTTACTAGTGATGGCAACTCTTTCATCTGTTAAAGCTAATTAATTGATTGCGCACTTAAGGAATTGTAAAATGCAAATTCTTTGTTTAGATGGCCTTTTCTTTTAGTAGAACTTTTGGGTCCTCTTGATCTTTTAGCCGTGATGGCAATTTCAGTAAGATTCATAAAGTAATATTGATAATGCCACTTTTTGATGTAGCTCTACTGTTGCATGCGGAAAATTTATAAGTTACTGTAAGACCAAATAGTCATAATCCAGTAGCTAAATTCTTTTAAAAGCCGTTAAGATAAGCCTTGCATCATACAATGCAGTTGCTGATATGTTTAGGATGCGGCCAAAACCTGTTGTTTCACTTTTGTGACATATATTGTCATTCTTGCTATAATTGACCTTACCCTCTTTAGAGTGGGAATGGCCTTTTTATGTATTGAATTCATCACCAACTTGCTCACCTGCAAAATAATGATGATGCAAATGATCAAACTTCTTCATGGAAATATCCTGTACACATTTGGTGATGTTGTTATTGCCTTGCTCTGCAGTTATATGACATCTAGAATTCAGCACACAAGCGTAAAACTTTTGTTTTCATTCAATATCATCCTCTCTGCACTAGAGTTGTTCTGATAGTTAATTAGTTAATTTCACTTTATTCTACTTTGATCCCTGATTCGTTGCTCTTCCTTGACAGGTCGAAGGAAGGGCTTATATGTCTGGAGAGGTTAAAAGTAGGTTGGAAATTTTGAAGCGAAAAAGACTGGAGCGAATGAAATTTAATGTTGCATGTGAAGCTAAAAATATTACTAATAATATGATAGCTAGAAGTGGAGGAGATGCTTTAAAAGCTGCTTCATGTGGCGCAAATACTTCAGATGCATTTTCTCATATTAATGGATCTGGGAAAAAAGCATTTTCAAAGCATAAGGTGGAAAAATTTGACATGTCTAACTTAGATTGGATTGACAATATTCCAGAGTGCCCTGTATTCTCCCCCACAAAAGAGGAGTTTGAGGAACCATTAGCTTACCTTCAAAAGATTGCTCCTCTAGCTTCAAAATACGGTATACGTTTATTACCATTTTAATAGCAAGTCTTAATATTTCTCATGACTTCTTTTGTTATGCAAATTGTGTCATAATTGATATATAGGGAAAAAAAACCTTCCTGATTTATCTCCTCCTATCTGATTATCAGTTGTGCTCAGCATGCACACTTCATTTTTGCTGAAGAATGTATTGGAAACATTGTGCCATTACATATTTAAACTCTTCTTCAAGTGATCTTTGTTATCTTTCTCTGTGCATTGACCATGACTATAAATTATCATTGTTTAAAAATGTAGAAGCGCAGCGCGAACTGTTAGATCGTTTAATGAAGCAAATCGTAATTCTAAGCGTGAGGCTTAAGCCTCATGTGTCTAAGTATTTTAATTTTAAAGTTTATAAAAAGTATAAACATATAATATATAATGGTATAATAATTTACAAATAGATGCATTAATGTCCTAATTAGTAAATAAGAATTAAATGTGTGAAGTATGGATGTAAATCATAATAACTAAGCCGCATGCATTGTGTATACACACACACACACACACTTATATACATATGTGTGTGCGTGTGTATAATGCATGTGGCTTAGGTTATTATGATTTACTATGCGCGCGCTCGTGCACACACACACACACATACACACATACATACGTACATACACATATATATATACATACATACAGCCACATGGTCATATTGAAGACATATATAGGAGCATTTTAATGTTAATCAAAAATTCTTTTATGTCCTCCTATCTTGTCTAAAGCGCGTGCTTTAAGAGAGAAGCGCTTTATAAAGCGTGTAGCGCACACTTCAGTTATGCTTTAAGCAATGAGGCATAACCTTCAAGAGATATAAATAGCTTCTCTCTTGAGTTTTGAAGCAATTACCGTTCAAAAGTTTCGAAAAGGTTTTCAAACATTGTTACAAATTACTTTTAAGATCCTGTCCCTCTGGAACTCTCTGATTAAGGGTTGGTGATCTTTTCTTTATCTTTTTTCTTTAATGGTTTCTAATTATGTTTAAACTAGTCAGAAATTTGCTTTGCAGGATATTTTATGATATCTCTTTTAATCATTTCTATTATGTCTTCCTTCATTGTGAAACTTTTTTTTTCCAGTGATCCTAACTCATCTTGTGTTTTGTATAAAATCCTAGTAACTAATTCAGGCTATCCTTCTTCAGGCATATGCAAGATCATTTCTCCGATAAATGCTTCTGTACCTGCTGGCACAGTATTGATGAAGGAGAAAGCTGGTTTTAAGTTTACTACTCGAGTTCAACCTCTCCGCCTTGCTGAGTGGGCTATAGATGATAAGATCACATTTTTCATGAGTGGAAGGTAAGATATCTCTTAAGAGTTAAATTTTTGGGTTCTTGTCATACCTTCTTTCCTTAATTACATTTACATGGATTTTTAGAAAGTACACATTTCGTGATTTCGAGAAGATGGCAAATAAAGTATTTTCACGAAGGTACTCTTGTGCTGGATGTCTACCAGCTAAGTATGTAGAGGAGCAGTTCTGGCAGGAAATAGCTTTTGGGAAGACAGAATCAGTCGAGTATGCATGTGATATTGATGGTAGTGCTTTTTCAACATCTCCGACAGATCAACTTGGGAAAAGTAACTGGAACTTGAAGGTGGCGATTCATTTAACCTCTAATCATTTTTCAAGTATTGTTGATTTTTCTGTGTATATATTGTAAAATCTCTTCTTTTGACTTTTTTCTCATGTTTTATTCAATGAACCTTTTATGTTGCAAGAGTTTGATGTTTAAGTTTAATGTTACTTTGTGTACAGAGAATTTCTCAGCTACCAAAATCAATATTGCGGCTCTTGAGGAATGGAATACCAGTAAGTATGTTATAAATATATCCTCCAGATTCAATTCTTGCATATAATTGGTTCTTTGAACAATTTATTTTGTTCACATGCAGGGAGTAACAGATCCCATGCTTTATATCGGAATGCTGTTTAGTATGTTTGCCTGGCATGTTGAAGATCATTACTTGTACAGGTTTGTGAAGGACTTTTGAAGTTTGATCGTCCTTCATGATTTCCTTCTGTAGTGACCATGAACATATTCTAAGCGTAAACTTCTGGTTATTTCCTTCCAGCATTAATTATCATCACTGTGGAGCATTCAAAACATGGTATGGAATTCCAGGCCATGCAGCTCCTGAATTTGAAAAGGTGGTAAGCGAGCATGTATACAATTGTGAAATTTTGTCATCTGATGGAATTGATGCAGCATTTGATGTACTTCTGGGAAAAACAACCATGTTTCCCCCAAACATTTTGTTAAAACATAATGTTCCTGTCTACAAAGCTGTACAAAAACCTGGGGAATATATTATCACCTTTCCTCGAGCTTATCATGCAGGCTTCAGCCACGGTGCGATGGTTATAAATTTGTTATCCCTTTGTCATGCACACAGTGGCTAGTACCTTCTATAGTTATTTTATAACTTAAGCTTTTTCTGATGAAATTCAGGATTCAATTGTGGTGAAGCTGTGAATTTTGCTATTGGTGATTGGTTTGGGATGGGGGCTGTAGCAAGCTGGCGCTATGCACTTCTTAATAGGGCTCCTTTGCTACCTCTCGAGGAACTTCTCTGTAAAGAAGCGATGCTTCTCTACAATAGATTGTTAAACCCCAATTTCAAAGGTTATTCATTATCAACTGAAGATTTAACTTCCCAGCACTGTATAAAGGTTTCTTTTGTCCATTTAATGCGGTTCCAGCACCGTGCTCGCTGGTGGCTTAAGCAATTGAGAGTGCAGGCATGCTATTCTGATATTCCCGTGCCAGTATCCTGCAGTAGTTGCCAACGTGACTGTTATGTAGCTTATGTTCAGTGTAACTGCAGTCGAAATCCTACATGTCTTCGGCATGGTATAAAATTGCACATAGTTACTTGTATCTTTTTCTTTTTCATGAGTTACATACTTTCTCATTCTATATTGCAGAGCGAGAGCTTAGAAGCTGCCCTTGTGGCTTTGATCGTGTAATTATCTTAAGAAAGAACCTGCCAGAATTGGAGGATGCAGCACAAAAGTTTGAGCTGGAAGATGGAGTATCAAGAGAGGTTCAGGAACAATTGTTTGTAGCTGATGAAACTCTGCAGTCTTCTTTATTCACATGCACCGAAGATGATGGGTACATACCATATTGCCAGATAAAATTTGAAGCAGGTGCAGAATTTTCGGAACAAGTCAAGCGGAATTCACAACATTTGAATTTGAACTACACCACTCATAGTCATATATCCGCTACACAGGAGAATATCTCTTCTGAAGAATCTACTCTGTCTTCTCTAGGAGCAGACGAAAGGCTGCAAAATGTATGCTTTCAGTTTGTGTCTTTTTTTTATTTGTCATTTTGATGTGAAAAGGCATTTATTTATACCTACGTTACATGGGTACTTCTATTTGGAAGTTGTATCCATACCCTACACGTACCCGTACCCGTACCCCTACCCAAACTTCTTGGACACTTCTTGAATATATGCATACATTTGTTCAAGCGTATAGACAATTAAATACTACATGTTTAAATTTAAAACACTCATATACTTCTCGGATGTATATTCTACACTTTACATCTATTTCTATTATATTGATCTCTTATAAATAAAAAAGTGATCTTAATATTATGTAAATTATTAATTTTAATATATATAAATATACATAAAATATATATTTATAGCCATGTTGCGGTACCCTACCTTTTACAAATTTTCTGTGTCCCGTATCTGTACCCATGCAACTTAGATTTATACTAAAGTTCGATGCATGATTTGAATGAGTGCAGGGCCTTGCAAACTCAGCAAAATCCACACAAACAAATTGCTCACAAAGGGTGTCAGTTCGTTCTTCTTGCTCCAGAGAGTTACGTCCAACTGCATATAGACCTGCCAACTCAACTGTTTCTCCTGGCATTTCAAATGACAGTGATGATTCTGATTCTGAAATATTCAGGGTCAAGCGCAGCAGATCTTCCATATGTGTGGAGACAAGAAAAGAGAGCGAGTCAACGAGCTCAAAATATCCTGCACACCAGGTATATTAAGTCATTAATCTGCTTTGTTAATTCCCGATCTTGTCCATTAATGTGCATGAATTTTGCATGTTATTTAAAATATACTCTTCAATACCTATATATGTTTTTAACATCGCATGAACTGAGGGAGGTGTTACAGCTAATGCTTTTTGCATTTTCTTCACATTATGTAAAGGTACATATATACGCTATGCTCTATTAGTTACCTAATTATATGTGTTAGTTGACACCAACAGATCTCACATTAATATTTCTTATGTTGTGCTGAAAAGAATCTATTGCAGCAAAAGAACAATCTCCCGTACTAAAGAGTGAGGATGAGAAAGGTACAGGAAACCAGAACAATAAGGCAAAATCCACCTAGAAAGTGTGTTAAGATTGATAGGGTTTACTAACTTGGCGGCTGTTCCATTGTTCTGACTTGCTTCTCTGTAATAAAAGGTTACATATGTATATTGCCTTTGGTTGCTCTGCAGTATGATTGCCTCTTAATGAGGCACTTGTGGTGACTAACATTTGATTAATCTGTTTTCTAAGTTAGTTCTGACAGGATATGTTACTCTTAGTACTAAAAGTTGATGCTCACAAGTATCTGTTGAAATATGGACACTCAAACAACCCTTTTATTATGCTGTTGATATATATATATATATATATATATATATATTATATATATATATATATATATATAATATATATATATATATATATATATATATATATATAGAGAGAGAGAGAGAGAGAGAGAGAGAGAGAGAGAGAGAGAGAGAGAGAGAGAGAGAGAGAAAATGGGTATGCTTGGTACAAGCAGCAAATTTTGTGCTTGGTAGTGATGTGTCACATCCTCATCCACCCACTACCCATGTGAATGTGGTCGCCATATTTGAATGAGTGGAGGGGATGCGACAATCACTACACAAGCACATCACTTTTGTGCTGGTACGCAAGCATACCCATATTGCTCATATATATACTATATATATATATAAATATATATATATATATATATATAATATATATATATATATATGGCGCCGATAACAACAGCATATTGGTATCAAGTTTTAGTACTCAAACAACCCTTTTACTTAAAAATATGCTCAAAAGTATCTGTTGACAAGATATATGCTGTTAAAATTAATTTCCTATCATATTTTTGAGTTTCTTTTATTATGCTGATTATTATAAATCGTAAACTACTCTTTTTAAAACTAGACACTCAAACAACCCTTTTAAATCATAGTTTTTAACTTATATAGGCTAAAATAGCCGGACCCATGTCTAACGAGTTTCAGATAATGGACATGAAAGTGTAGGATATACGTCCAAGAAGTGTATGTATGAAAAGTATTTTAAATTAAAACATATATCGTATATAAATCCATACATCCAGGGAGTGTCCATGAAGTTTGGATACGGATAAGTGTCAGTTAGGTGTCGGGTACGAGTACAGGTTCATGATAGAAGTACCCGGGTAACATGGATGAGGTGTGTTCTCCTTTTCTGATCTTGATTATTTTTAATTTTAATATTATCATTATTTATTGTCTACATTATTCTTAATTATTCTCTGGTGACTATGGAGATGATTATGATGATGGGGGTGGCGGGGATGATGGCGACGACGGCGACGACTTAATAACGATGACTAGGCAAGCAAACTTGCAATTCTTTGGTTCTCATTTGGATTTCCGACTCTTAAGCAGTTACTTTGTGAATTTCTAGGTTTTTTTGATCACATAAGGGAAGGTGGATAAGAAAGTGTCCTTTTTTTATTAAGAGACCCGACCATGAAAAGAAACGTTATCAGTTTATCATACATGTGACGTATGACTTCAAGAATAAGTGACGAAATGAAAAATTAGAATATTTAATCTCACATGAAATAATATGCTCATAAATACTTCAAAATGAATGCAGTGATGATTCGGCTTTGGTGATTCAAGTGAAATGCAAGTGTTATAATAGGTTTATGGACAAATTTTGAATATCAAAATAACTTTGGTGATTGTAAGGAAAGAAGTTTATGGATTTTGTCATCAGATTTGAAACTTGTATATTTTGAAAATTTGAAGTTTATGTATTCATCAGATTTGTGCAGAATTTGGATGTTTACTATCCAGTTAACGATTTGAAATGTTCATAAATTCAGTTAACTGATTTGAAAACTGAAGGGCTTTGTTACATGCGTTTTGAATTATGTGCAGCATCCTCGTGTTAAGAAATCAAAATCAGTCTCCATGTAGCACAACGTCACATGAATGATGATGTTAAAAATAAGGGAACGAGTACGTGTTATTTGGATAAAGTAGTGGAGATATATTGTGTTGATTGATGGTTGGACTTCAAGAGTTCAGGATGGGGGACAAAAAAGATGCTGCAAAATCGATGGTTTGGATTTTGTACAGGGGTTGGGATGAAGGATAGATCTCTAATGTTAGAATTTAAGAAAAATTTATGATTCATTTTTAACATTTTTAGCGGGCCCCAAAAAATTGGGATAAAGGTTTGTTGTTGCAATTTAGGTTTCTATTTTGGTATTCCATTTTCATTAGTATTTTTTTCTTGTTTAAGTTTAAGCCCCCCCCCCCCCCCCCCTCATTTTTTTCTCTTTTCTAAAATAAAATAAAATACTTCCCTCAAATATTGTTTTCAATAAATGTTACACGAACTTTGCAGACAAGGTCATGATTACCTAAAATAACTCTTAAATAATGATCTTTATTACTACATACTGCTAAGATTATCAACATGACAAAACCATAAATGTTTGGATTTTTGGAACTTGAGACAGAGTACTTGTGTATTTTTGCATTTGCTTTAGGTATATTATTCATTTTATGCATATTATTATTAAGTAAAATAAAACAAGAAAGTCTATAATTATTTAGTCTAGTCTTAACATACTTCTGTGTATGCATTTTATTTAATGTGTCACAGTGTCAGTACATATCTAGGAAGGACTTATCATTTTGAAGCCTATCTCGGTTTCATTTTGAATTTAGGTACAAGGTAACCCTGGGGTGTTGTTACATCTGGAAATTGATCATCCATTCTGAAAGCCTACCAATGCGAGGTTGTGTATGTCTATTCTAACTGGGACCTATCTGTTAAACATTGCCTTCACATTTTCAGGGCTCAATTTTTTGTACAAGTTGAAATTTCTATTCAGTCATGTTTCTGAATTGTCTCACTATTTTCTCGTTAAATGGTAAGCTGTGATCCGGGCATCTTCCAGGTTACCTACCATTGTACACTGAGTAAAGTACAAACCATTTTATTTACTGTAGAATCGATGAGGTCGTTATCACAACATGAATGACCATTTTTTTTCAATGAAGAAATAAATGTTTACACGATTAGGATTTATTTTAATCAGGGACCTGTTTCCTCTATTGAGGAATTTGTGCTAAACATGGCTTTTTTTTGTCAGGATCAAAGATTTCTTGGTACGACTCTAGTTTATTTGTTAATTGATGCTATCACTGCATCACTATTATTTTCATTACACAAAGTCCTTGCCACTATACTGTTATTGTCTTGGCTTTTTATTTATGGTGAAAAATCCACATGATGCAGCAAATAACTACCTGGTTGGATAGAAATTAGAAAGTAGTAAATAAGGTGTAACTTTACCCTTTGCATAATGGGTGTAACCTATATACATGCTGATAACTTGCCTTAACCTATAATCCTCTTCTTCCCAACTCCAAAGTATGTGTAGCTTCCAACAGTAAAATTCATCTTCACGAAGAGGGACTTTGAAGTAACCATCCTCAAAATGGGTGTAACCTATATACATGCTGATAACTTGCCTTAACCTATAATCCTCTTCTTTACATATTCACGAAGAGAAACATGTTTGAAGTATGCTCTCAACCAAAACAAGAGGAGATTGTGTTCTTGTGTTGATCGGTAATTACCAATGTGGGATAGATACATGCAAGAGACACAGTCTAAAAATCATGAGCACATATTCATGTATAGTTACATGTATGTGTAAGTATAATATACTCAATTTTATATATGGTAAGGTTACAATAAATTGTTCAAGAGAACTTAGAAATTTCTACAATACGGGTGCAGGACATAAGTGATAAGTTTCAGAAATACTGTTTGTGCATTGTAGCATGTAACTATTAAAAGATAGAAAAATTGGTTTAAATTAACTCGTAAACATAATTCTTATTGTATAAAAGTAACTAATGTCTTTTATTCTGCAGTTACTTTTTAAGTTTTGTATGTTTCAAATTAATGTAGGCAATTTTCCATAATTTCTTATGCATAAATGGTTGTTTTAAACTGCTATAATTAGCCTTTCTAATGTTTTTTTATTTTTCAGTAATAAAGATAATATCATCTGAGTTTTTAATGTATTTAAATAGTTATTAGGAAGTGTTGGAAAGGTGCCTTAAAAGTATTATTATGTTGCTCCATGGGTAGTGTTAAAGCGATGTTTTTGACATGAGTGGCCTGTACATATATAGATTGTTGAGTAGCTATGATTATCCACCTTATCACTCTAAATAAAAATTAAAAAAAAAGTGTAACCTGCAGCAAAGATTTTGATGCGTGTCAGTAATGGGAATCTTGGGTATTGCAGACACAGATGCGTTAATGTGTATAGTGTAATCAATATTTCAACTCTTATGGCTGGTTACACAATGAATCTAGCACCTTTCAAATTTTCATATTCACAATAATCATGAAATTTTAGACATGAAATCTTTCTTATTAGGTCAAATAGATATGTTGTTAATGATATTTAGCAAACGTTCACAGATGGTATTCTTAGACAGTTCTAGAAGATACCTGTGCCAATATGAAATTATAATGTCAAAGTTTCATGATCATAATTTATTACTGAGAAGAAAAAGGAAATCTGCTTCTGTTGGAATAGATGGAATTTGTTGAAAATTTATTATTTGTTTTCTTGTTAAATATGTAAAGAAAATGAAAGCCTCCATAATAACCAACAATTCATGAAGCCTTATTGCGAC